TCAGAGAACCCCAAGGACTCCACAGTTCAACCCTGAGCTACACATATTTGCCTCCATTGCAATTTGATATGCAGATGCTAAGGGATGAGTGGAATAAAGAACTAGACAGTTGTGAGAGTGTCTTATCTTCTATAGCAAGAGTGTCATGGACCTTAAACAGTGACTTATAGAACAAAAACTAATATTAAGGATTTATTGGACTCCATTACATTTGTATAGAAAAGGATTGTCAAAAACAGCATTTTGTCAGAGGTGTAAAAAGGACAATGCCTCTTTAAAGCATATGTTTTTATAGTGTCCTATGCTTATTAAGTTTTGGAAGAAAGTAGTGGACTACATAAATATGATGGTGCGACAAAAGCTAAAATTTCATAGGAAAATATTCTTTTGAACTATACCTAGTACGTGGAACTTGAAAACCAGACCACATAAATGGATTCTCTGTGCCCCTACTTTGGCCACAGGACTGATATTGCAGCATTGGAAAGAGAAATGTATGGCCCCCTTCACTCAATGGATTGAAGACCTGATTGCACTTGCCATTTATGAGTGGATTGCCTATAGACGTAGACTTTGTATGGATAAGTATAATGAAATATGGGACTCATTTATACAAAATACACTGGGTTAAAAAAATGATTGTCATATAACTCTATTAGAAATATATATGTATTTGAATAATGTTTGAAAAAAAATTAAAAAAAGATCTGGCAGGAGAGGAATGTTGTGGGTCCTGTTGGCCAGGAGTTTTGTTGGGAGAGACCTAGGAGGAAAGACTTTCTGCCATGGCCCCCACCCTACAGAACATTATTCCCCCCAAGGTGAGGCTGCTTCCAACCCTGTTGGCATTCCAGAAGGCCCTTAAATCATGGCTCTGTGAACTAGCTTGGGGATCCCACGATAGTCATGGCTACACAGCTGCATGACAGTGAATGGAATAGGCTCTTTTTTTTGTTTTGCCACCATTCTGTTTTTTATTTGTTTTTATTTTTTAATTTAAATTGGTTGTTTTAATGGTTTTTTAAATGTGTTTGTATTGTTTAATTATGTGCATTGCCCAGAGTTACTATGTGAGATGGGCGACTATACAAATGTGATTAAATAAATAAGCTGTAAAAGTCCTATAGCTAATACAATTCATTGCAAGATTAAATTCCTGATTTGTTTGCTTGTTTTTAGCAGAAATTTGGAAGACATTAAGACGTCTTCATTTCCACCCTGTGGGAAATCTTGGGGGCTTTGGAGCACTCCAAGGAGGAAAGCTTGAACTGCCCCAAAATCTGATATACAAAATTAAAATAAAAATATAAAACATTGATCAAAATGAATCAAATTAATGTATTCTAAAGAATTATAAAAGGTTTGAGATCCTAAAATGGCATCAAAGTAGATGGCAAGTGAACCTCTCTGAAATCAGCATTTAGCAGCTGATGAACCAGTGCCAAAAATAGCCGTTGTACTTTGAATTTTTTCCTATTCAGTATGTGGCTATATCTGGCATCCAGAAACATTTATTAAGGAGGAACAGGGTGGATTTATTTCCAAATTTATTTCCAAATAAACATAAAGAATCATACCGTATTTCAGAGAACCATATTAACAATGCATTTTTCAAAGGAGTTTTCCCTTCTATGTATTTTTTTTCATTGCAAAATCTCTTCTTTTTCAAAAAATTTAACAATGTTGACTGGCTGGTTATATTCCTTTACAGACATTACTCCAAGAGAGAAGAAAGGATAGAGCTTCGCAGAACAATTGATGGTATATGTGTACAATTTCTTTTCTCTATGGACATCATAAAAAGAAAGTCTTTTGTCTGCTGACATATCTAGGAATATCCCTATTCTTGCAGGTCGTCCAGTCACTGTCAGAAGGGTCCAGGGGTCTGTCCGAGCCCAGTAATCTTTCCCACCATCAGTACCTATCACCCAATAATCATTTTGCGGAGATAACTTGATATCCCCCTTTCTAGAAATGGATTCAGATGCAACCCCTAACTCCCATTTCTTTTTCTGGCTAATATCTACTTCCCAGTAATAACTGCCTTTGGAATATCCCTGTGTTGCCAGGATCCCCATGTGGTGAGGAATGTCTTCACTTTTAGAAAACTTAGAAATATTTCCTGTGTCTCTGACACTTTTCCCAGCTTCAAACACTTCCAGTCTTGGGTGAGCTGTCTTGGAATCAAAGATCACATCAACTGCAAAGGGGAGACATTATATCACAAAGAAGCAGACCTAAGAGTGGGCTTATATTGTTCTGTAAAGAAATCTGTTAACCCTGGTGAATTACATCCATATCTTTAGTTAGATCGACCATAACGATAGTACAGGATACAACTTTCTAGGAATATTGAACACATCTTATTTCAAAGAGTATGCCTTTGCCATTGAATGGATAATTCCTGAAGCCTTCCCCAATGAATTTCATAGCACAGTTAAGGTTTATGTCTCTGAGGTTTTACAGGGATGATCAAGACATATTTTCCCGATCTGGAATGGGGAAAATCCAGAAATATTTTCCTGATCCAGTACTTGGATCACAAAATGCAATTTGCTATTGCAGAAGGTTAATTTGCTACCATTATTCATCACATATTTTCTGCATCTTTATGTGTGTCTTACCATCTCTTCAGTTCAGGATCTTCTATACAGAAGTAACATTGATTTCTAGTAGTATCTTAGTTGGGTGATAGAAAAATGTCCTTTAAGATCCCAATACCATCAATCTCAAATTAGAAACTTAAAGGTAGATATGCTGAGCTTCAATTTTATTTTGACATATGATGTTATCTCCTCTCTGACTGCCTCTTTTTCTGGTACAGGAGTGCAGCTTCTTGGATAAGGGGCATGGTGGCATCATAGTTTGACTCTTACTTGGGAGCCTAGTTATTCGAATTTCCTGACGTTGTCCTGCACCACTCCAAAGGTAGGGCACACAGGTATGCCTTTAACAACTGCAGTGGTGTAGCTACATAATATTTTAATGAAGCTTTAATAGATTTTTTGCTTCCCCATCAAACAGCACTTGTCCTCTAACCCTGACCAAACATTCCAGGTTTTGTAATTGCATTTACATTCTTGATATGTAACTCTTTTTCAGTTATGGAACACATTATGGGTTTGGTCTTTTTTTTAAGCTAAAAATAACATTCTCTCTATACAGGACACTACCCCAGCTTTGTATGAAACAGGTCAGTTTCACTGCCCACTTTTCAGAACTAGTAGCTAAAATGTCCTGAACTTTCATCTTCCGGAAGGCCTATTTTTGCACTGACACCATACATCAGAATTTTGTGGTGTACTTTAAAGAGCTAAGAAAACCAACATGACCCACTTAAAAGTGCAGAAAACGGAGATTATTTTACTCCAGTGTGCATCTTCTTTGTTTGCTGTTTTTCTATTTCTTGGTGTTGAAAACAAGCCTAGGACAGTCATTCAATTTCCAATTTCTTTTTGAAAGCCTTTGTTCTCACCTTTATTGAAACGGGCATCAGAGAATTCTGTGAATAAAGCATTGAAGAGGAAAGATTATTGTGAGCAAGGAGGATTCCTGTAAATTCAGGTAATAGCAAGCAATACAGAAACAAGATGTTCAAATAGAAATTACTGAGGCAACAATACGATGAGTTCCATTATGAAAAAACAATTTAAAAAGAATATTTTTGGTTAAGGCCCCAATCTTTTCCCCATAAACTGAAATATATAAAAGAAGACTCACCTTTTGCCACCTTTAGTTTTTCTGGAAAGAAAAGGTTTTTTTTCAGATTAAGGAGTAATAAAAGCTTAAAAATACTTCTGTGCTACTGGAAAGCCAATATATAGGTTATTCATTAGTCCAAAGATTTTGCCTGTGCAAATCTGACAGCGCTGAATCCATAAGACACATAAAGCTGCATGTTAACTTGTACGAAGGAGCTAGAGAAAGCATGTTAAAAGATTTACTCTGATGATCACCTTTTGATGATATACTCAGGGGGGTTGAGTTAGTTACTAGTATCAAAGTTGCCAACTTTTAAAATATTTTCAATATTTATTTGTTATTAATTTTCTGAACCATTGAGGTCAGAAGACTATTAGCAACATGCCAACAGTATGAAAACAAACATCCACAGTAAGAAGTAATAACTAATATTTAAGAAATCAACATTCATAAAAGCAGAGCAGCATACACTTTCCGTTGACTGATAACGATATTCCCCCAAAATAAACTGAAGAGACCTCTGGAACAGTCCTGTCTTCCCAGCTTCCAAAAAGTTAGCAATGTAAAAGCGCATCTAACCTCTCTGGGGAGGCCAATCCACAATCAGGGCCAAACTCTGACAAAACTTGGATGTGGGGAAGGAAGGGCTGCAAAGCTTCCCACAGAAACAATGAAGGGGGCATCCAAGGCTCGATCTTCTTTGCTAAGCTTAACCTTATAGTGATGTTTAGGATTACAGCTGAAGTACAGTTATTTGGCCCACCAAATTTTTCAAAAGGAGAAAGAAATTTAAAAGATTATATATATCTATAATTATATTTTCCTAGAAACGGGCATAGATCAGTGTCTGTATTTTGTTTAGCTCAACCTTTTGTGTAAAACTTGAAAGGTGCTAAGCAGTTTACCCAGTTCTTCTTTACATTTATCTGGAAATAAATAAACCAACAGTAGGTTTTATATAAAAAGGAGCACAGTTTAAAAGGCACAAAAGTATATATGCCCATGCCTGCTATTTCTTGACTTTTTAATCTAAAGCAGCTGTGAAGGACTGAAATTTTTAAAGAAGCCATGAAGGATGCCTGGTTTTTTGAAATACAAAAATTAGACTCCTCATTTTAGGAAGAGTCTGATTGTGTTAGTGTAATTGTTGTGCCAGAACATGGCTATCTGCAGGCGAGGTCAAAAAAGTCAACATGGCTCTCATGATCCTGCAGCCAGAGCCCTCTTCCTTTTAATGAATGTTTTCGCATATCTAATGTGAGGTTGATTTTGACCACGCCCTGCAGACACTCCTCGCCCACAGCTGGTTCCAAAGAGTCTTTCTCTGGATCAAAATTGTCTGATTAAAACTATCCCATTCATAATTGCAGCCCAAACAAAGGAGAGAACAGCAACAGTAGCATTCCCCTTAGTTAAAAATGCTCCCCTTCTCTCAATACTGCAAGTCAGAATTTAGCTTTAGTTAATCTTTAGTTTCCCTAAAGATAATAAAATATAGGTCGACATTAAGTAATTCCAGGAAGCTTAGTGAGTCTAACACCTAATTAGCATAAACTAATATAACTTGTCCCAAAGTTCGATGTTCCTAAAATCTCTCATATATAACAGAAGTGTTTGAAAGGAGGTACCAAAAAAATTCCACTACTCCACGTAACCAACCTAACCTGATACCAAATGTGTTCATGAAACTTACCATTTTCTGTCCTTAATTGATCTGAAAAGAAAGATGCATCTGGTTTTCATATGAATGAACCGATTCAGAATAATTTCATCAACTGATGGTTAAAAATGATAGATTCCTGTGATTTACGTATAGGAGGACTTGAAAAACAGAAATATGCTTCAAAAACACTAATGTTTGATTTAACCATTAATAGTGTTCGTGTCACTATTGATTACAAAGCAAACTAAAAGGCACGTAGAGGAGATGAGTGGAAGTAAAGAGGAATTTTCAACCTCAATTTACTTGTGCCAGTAATCTTCATAGGTCTGGTCATCTCTGAACAAAATGAATCAAAAGGGAATATTGAATTTGCACTGTACAATTGAAGGAGGTACATAATAATGATAGTAATAAATGTATGGTTTACCAGACCAAACCAGAAACACTTTGGAAGACTTACCCTTTTCAGAATGCATTTTTTCTGCAAAAAGAATACATAGGGTTATACTTTAAGCACAAGCTTTCTATCAGAGTAAGATTTTATCTCAGATAGTGAACTATACAGGATAACCTGCAAATTAAACAGAATAGTACCTTTAGAATGACTATTCCACTTCCAGCCAAAATCAATTTCCGACCAGAATCTCAATTCTCTTTGCAGAGTTTGGCTTGTCTTCAGTGACGGCTCAGATTCCCAAAACTCTAACTATTAAACATGGGTTTCAGGAAGAAGTAGTCAATCCCAGTTAGCCAACTAGTGATTGATTGATTGATTGATTGATTGATTCTGACTGACTGACTTTTAAAAATATATGTTAATCAGGGCTTTGGAATGTAAAGGCAGATGCCTATGCTGAATTTCAGAGCATTTGGGAGAACCTAATGTCTACTGAACATCAGTTCATATAAATTATGCCAAGTTTTCAAATATTTATAATGACACACAATACAATAGATATGATCACTGGGGATACCAAGAAATCCGAGATGAAGAAAAGTTAGCTCTGGGTAACTAACCCAAAATACTGATAGTAAAAACCTTCATGACACTTACCATTTTCTGTCTTTAACTGATCTGAAAAGAAAGATGCATTTGGTTTTCATATTAATAAATCAATTCAGAATTATTCTAACAAAAAAAGTGATTTCCATTTGTGATTTGGATTACATTAATTGGAGTTTAAATGTGATAGGTTTATGAGATTTATCCTTAGTGAGAGTGTATGCTCTAGAACAATGAAATTTCATTTAATCATAATTGTCCCACTGATTTCAAAAACTGTTCTCAATGAATTTGTATCCAGGCCTTGATCTTGATTAAAGTCCTTGAGGAATTTAATTTCAAGGACTCCTTCCAGAGTCCTTGAAGTGATTAAAAGCTTTCATAACACTTACCATTTTCTGTCCTTAAATGATCTGAAAAGAAAGGAACAATCAGTTCTCATAAGAGTGAATGAATGAAGAACAATTCCATCAGAAAAGCATAGGATTTCTGGATTGTGTATTTTCAAGAAAGAATGGATTACCTTCTGCTCTGGATTTAAATCAACTGATGGTTAAAAATGATAGACTCCTGTGATTTATCTATAGTAGATGCCCCCAAAGCAGAGTATGCCCCCAAAACACCAATTTTTAACTAATTTAACCATTATTGTCCTCATTATTGTCCTTTTAGTCAATCCAAATCTATCCATGTAGCATATGTATGTATGTACCTATGTATATATTCATTTGTCAAATTTATATAGCCTTCCTTCTCACAAGCAAGTAACTCTGGGAGGCGAACAACAAAGCTAAAAACAATTCATTAATAAACAGCAAAAATTATTATTATTAGCTTTAAAAAATGGTAAGCATTGTAAAAAAACAGGCTAAAAAAGAAATATTGGGCAAAGAGATGTTAATAATAGGGGAGCCAATCAATGTTTCCCTAGGCCTCATGACAGAACCAGGTTTTGAGGGACCTGCAGAAGGTCAGAAGTGATGAAGCTAGCCTCATTGCAGGGGGGAAGATATTCCATACTTCCGGTGCCACAGTGGAAAAGGCCGATTGCCTATGACCCACCAAACGTAGCTCCTGAGCCAACGGGACCCACAGTATGCCCTCTCTGCTGGATCTGATGGGAGGGGCAGATGTAATCAGGGAGAGGCGGTCTCTCAAATAACCCATCCCATTCATCCTAGGGAGGGGAAGGCAGGTAACCTGAGGCACTCTAGCTTAATTGGCTGTCAATGCCATCAGGGTACCCAGAGCCCACCTTCTACACTCTACCGACACAAACACATACACAAAACCAAACACGCACTCACAAGGGCAATGAAGAAAGAAATTTCATTAGTGAGGATGACTACCTTGCTGAATTCAGGTAACAGCATGGAATGCAGACACAAAATATTTAAAAGGTGGTAAAGAATGCAACACAGGTTCATAATAAAAGCACATATATTTTCCCCCCAAATTAAAAAAAAAATAACAGAAGGCTGACCTTTTGCTGCCTCTGCTTGTTCTGCAAAAGAAAAAAAATGTTTTCCAGATTAAGAAGAAATCCAAACAGGAAACTATTCCAATGATGCTTGAACACTATTTTAAAGATACCCCATTAAACCAAAGACTTTGGGCTAATCTGACAATTTTGAAGCTATTATATACTTGGGGACTTTTATAAAGGAGCTCCATAGTCTTTGCTTCATATAATCAATTGAGATAAGCACAAAATATGACAACCATATGACAGGACCAAATTGTATGATTTAGCCTTCCAATTCTTGAGTTGCATCTCAAACAGAAAGGAAATAATATCCCACGTGAAATATTCTCTAAGATGTCCAATGTACCTGAATCTATTTGTTTATTTAAGTTAAGTTCATTGTAGATTCATTAATTGCATATTAATTACAGGAATAGAAGATTCAAGCTTGCTATTCCAGAAATCACAAAAATAATTAGTATCAATTGTCACTTCAGTAAAGAGGGTACTGGATTAAGAATCAGAGATAATTCTCCCTAAACTTCTAGCTTTTGTAGTACTTCACAGCCTGATTTATTGATTTATTAATTGATTGGTTGAATTAATAGATTGCCCAACTCCTAAATGCCTCTCAGTGGCTTACAACTAAAAAACTAAACATTTAAAAAAATACAACCAATAGGTAGAGCAAAACACCAAAACAAAACCAAAGCAGATCATAACAAACCAAACCAAACCAAACCAAACCAAACCAAACCAAACCAAACCAACACAAAAAGGCATAAAAGGGGCTCTAAAATCACTCTGTCCCCACGGTTTGGAATAACAAGTGGATCAAAAAGTTTACACACACGTTTAAGATGAATAAACTGTCAAGAAGCTAAGATCAAAACTATTTTTTTAATCCTGCAAAGATTTATAACAAAGCACCCTCAGAAATGAATTGATGAAAAGGTAAAATGTTGTGGGTTTAAGAGCATTAGATACTACAGGATTTTGGGGGGGCAAAAAATAGGAGTTTGATTTTGAATTAGCCAGGCAAGATCTGAAGCTCATATACTAATGAAATTAGGCTAAGAATTGTCTAAAAACAATTTAATAAAATGCAGGCAATTGTAATAGTTGAAATAAAGGTATGCTACAACTGTGGGAGACTTTTTACCAGTTGACACCTAATTTTCATGGTTGCTGCACAGTATATCTAATTTGTGAAAACAATGATGATGTAAGTATAGTCAGATTGCCCAGGATACTGATGGTAAAAGGAAAAGAGAAAGAAACCATCCTCAGCATAATCCCGTGGAAGGATATACCATTAGTAACACATTTTAGGAGATTTACCCTTTTCAAATTTTAGTTGCTCTAGGAAAAGAAGAAGAGAGATTTCACTTTAACAAGTTTCTAGATCAGAGCAAGAATTTATCTTGGATACTGTCTGGAAGTAGGATTTGGGGTTGGAGGTGGGGGATGTTACCCTTGTGATGATCGGATCACTCTTTGATGCCCTTGGAGTTCTCTGCAACTGTTCCCCACTGCAGGGAGTTAGAACCTATGCAGTTGGTCCATCCAAGGAACCCAACGATCTCTGTTGGGTTTCAGAGGGAACCCTCTCTAGAGAGTAAGAGAGTTGACCCTGACAGAGACATGCAGGAACTGCTGCCCAGGCAAAGGACTGAAGCATTTTTAAAGTCCAAAACAGTGAGGTAACATTTGGAAGCAGTTCAGAGGGATGCCTCCCTGCTTCATTTAACTATAAGGAGGAGGAGGTACAGTACAGCCAGACCTGCAAGAGTCTATTATAATAGCCGATCTCAATAAAAATTGTTTTAGCCTTCTTATGGAGATGGTTTCCTGGTCTGATCCATCTAGTGGGGCTGACAGATCCAGGGAGAGCTTAGTCACTGCTTGGAATGAGAAGACAACATCATCTCTATGTCACAAGAGATGAAATTGCAGAAGAGGCACCAAGAGAGTGACTGGAGAAAAACAAAGCGTAAATCTGATCATGAATGGCTAAGAGCTATTAAGGATTGCTTTGGGGCAGTAAGAGTGACAACATGTAGTTATTTTTCCATTCTCCTACATCTGTAGATAGATAGCTGGTGGCATTGCTTATGTGTTCAAAGGGAACTGGTCCAGAAGAACATTTGGGGGACCACTGTTAGGATCTCCAATTGTTTTTGTCTGCTCCACAAAATCCAGCAGGTAGGCATGCTCCAGATCCCATTTCTGAAACAGTCACCTGATGGGACCCAGGAGGCCTGCCTTCCCTGTTGGAGGTCCTGTCCTGTGGAACAGTGTGCTCCCTGAGTTTCAGATGGCCCCAACCCTGCTGGCCTTTCATAAGGTGGTAAAAACCTGGCTGTGCCACAGGGCATTGGGCCAGGCCTGTCTGTTAGAGTTAAAAGATGTAGATAGATAGATAGATTTGTTATTTGTTTTTTAAACCTGAAGTTAGCTGCCCAGGATTGCATTAATTAATTAATTCGTTCGTTCGTTGATTCATTCACATAATTTATTAGCTGCCCATCTCACTTTTTCCAAGTGACTCTGGGCACTGTACAAGAAGGGTAATTTGCAAGTTGGGCAGCCATATAAGTCAATTAAATCAATGAATAGTATTAGAAAAATGATAAACACAAACCAATAAACAAAACGAAATGAAAAACTAGGAGATATGTGATATAAAGAGTGTGGGGAAAATATTTAGAATTGCAGAAGCATTATGAGATATGAAAATCAGATGAAGTGTAGGAGTAACTTGGATGAGGCCTTCTTTGTGAGGATCAATGATAATTTCTCTGGATCTGTTGCCTAGTAGCATTGCTTTTCTCCACAAAGAAATATGGAACAAGCAGCATATGTTGCTTCTCAAATCAAACAAACTAAACTCAAGTAATCTGCAATTACTGATAAAATTGTTCCAGAGTTTCCTATTCCTAAAATGTCACCCAGTACAATGGAAGTGACTGCTGAGTTATACTGAGAAATCCCATTGGAACCACAGTTCAGTTTATGTAACGAACGCAACTTGAAGATGCCAAAAACTTTTATGAGACTTACCATTTTCTTTCCTTAACTGATCTGAAATGAAAGAAACATTGGTTTTCATATGAATGAACAAATTTAGAATAATTCCACCACAAACAATATAAGCATAAGATTGTATCCAGAAAGAACAGATTGCCTGGTGAGCTGGATTTACATCAACTAATCAAAAAAGAAAAGTCCTATAATGAATTCAAAACTATTTTTATACCACTAATTTATAATTGAATAGTTTTCAAATAAAAATCATATTTTTTTAGTTAAGTAATTCCATTATGCTAAATTAATTAAGAGAAAAAAACCCCTCTGAGTACATGTAACAGTATGATGTTATATATGTATTATATATTCAAAATTAATAAAATGAAGGAAAGGAAAGATGACATAGAAAAGTGTGCTATAAAAAGAGCCATTGAAACAAATTGGATCATATAACAACAACAACAACAACAACAATTTTATAATAATATAATAATCATCATTTGCCCTTTCTTGAGCAAATACTATTTGAATTGTTGAAATATAATACATATCAACAATCCATTCCTGCAAATAAAATACCATATTCTTTGTTATATGATCATTCTTTTGGCCAACTCCCATGCACCCGAAAGCACACATATATGACAGCAATATGACAGGTATGGTTGATACAGCCCAGAAGAACATATGCATGTTTAAAACACAAGAATTGGTCCAGAATCATGTTAACAATCCTGTTTATATCATCCCCCAAACTGATATTAATAGAACAAGACACAACTATATGAGTTAATCTGAGGCTTTTGACTGGCATGTCCAATAGTAGGCATTGTAATAACCCTTTTCAATCATTCTCCATACATAAAGCAAAATGTTCTGTTGTATTAAACAGTATTTAAGTTCACAGGACATATATTGTGAGTTTTGTAAAGTGATCTTATATTAAAGTGTTATTAAAGTTTTAATTCCAGAAGTAATATAAACACTTAATATCAATTACATCAACTTCTTTCATTTTCCATAAAAAGGCATTACTGGTTTAGGAGCTGTAAATGATTCCTCCAAAACCTCTACATGCTGTGAAACTTCAGAGAAGTGATAGAATCTCAACTAAATGTGAATGCTAAGCAATCATAGATCCTCATTAATCAGTAAATCGTCCTGGGTTTTCATATTCACACCCTCCCAAAAGTGATAGTTGGAGGTACCCAGGAATTCCATCAGAGCAAGGTTCTGTCCAGATTTCCAATCCAAACTGAAAATGCCAAAATTGTTCATGGGACTTACCATTTTCTGCCTTTAATGGATCTGAAAAGAAAGACGAGTATTTCATATGAGTAAACATTTGAAATAATGCCATCAGAAAAGAATATTTAAGGAGTGTTTATTTCTTAGAAAGAATGGATTAAACTTTGATTTTGGAGTATAAGAGCTGGTAGGTTAAAATGATAGACTAATGAAATGCGAAGAGAGGACTCTTTGGAAAAGACCCTGATGCTGGGAAAGATTGAAGGCAAAAGGAGAAGGGGACAGCAGAGGATGACATGGTTAGATAGCATCACTGAAGCAATGAGCAAACTCAGGGAGGCAGTGAAGGACAGGAAGGCCTGGCGCGATATGGTTCATGGAGTCACAAAGGATCAGACATGACTTAACGACTGAACAACAACAATGAAATATATCCTTAATAAGAGAATACGAATGCCCATTTTGAATGGGGATCGTGAACCTTGTCTGGACTGATCCCCAACAAAATTGCTTTTTGTTGTTTGGTGGAAAGGTCATTACTGACTGAAATTCAGACTAAATCCAGGAGCTCAGGGTCACAGAATAATGAAGCGATTAATTTTATTTTCAGTCCTTACCTGTGCTTTTGAGGGATAAGCAATTACTCTGCTCAGTCTTATGTGCTAAGAACCAAAAAGAAAGAGAAAAGGAATTTTAGTTCTAACCAAGGAGCAAGAGTCAGTCAGCTCTGCAGTTGTGCTCTGAACTATAATTATGGAAGATTGTGCACTGAAGAAAATCCACACTTGCCGTGTAGAGGCTGGGGATCAGAGCCTGGGAGATGACTGTCTTTGGAGCTGCCATTGGTTCCTCCAAAACCTCTAAACCCTGTGGAAATTCAAAGAAGTTACGGCATCTCACTAAATCACCAGATAATGAATAGTGCAGGTGACTCTTCTGCTAAGAAGCACTCTGAAGTGATTTGCTTCATTCTGCAGATTCTATTATTTCAAAATAGCTTCCTCAGAACTGAGCTGATCTCAGTGCTATGAGAGGTCCAATTCTGCAGCATTAAGTACATGCATTGCAAATAGGTTCTCAAGAGCTGCCAGGATGTCAATAGGATCAAGCTATAACTCTTAAGTAAAGGCCAAAGAGGAACTGAAATCTGAGGGTCCTCATTCCAGCCAGTAACTGAATCTGGGAAAAGGTTAATTCACTTTTCCAAGGTAATTGTAAGTGTGCAATGAAAATTTCACCAGATATTTTACCAAAAATGTGTTCATAAACTAATATAACCATAACATAACATAACATAACATAACATAACATAACATAACATAACATAACATAACATAAAACAGCATGACAGAATGAATGTTAGAATGTCTCTAAGAACCAAAATCAGTCTAAATTAAGAGAAAGTGTCATACTGCAGGGCATCCTTCTGCAATTACTCTTCTTTTGGGAGACCTTGGCCTATCTTCAACGAAAGCTCCATTTCAGATATTAGACGTGCATCTCATTAACAGATGATATTAGACGTGCATCTCATTAACAGATGATATTAGACGTGCATCTCATTAACAGATAATAACTCCCAATTAGCTACTAACAAACCAACTGGTTAGATAATTTCTTATTATTTTTATTATTAATTAAAGTATTATTATTATTATTATTATTATTAACTAAAGAATATTTATAAATCCTAGCATTTATTATAACAATAATAATTGCATTATTATTTTAATTTTAATTGTAATAATTTTAATCAGCATTGTGAAATCCTGAGGCATAAGCAAGCATATGCCTGTGTGAAATAATTCCTGGAATATCAGAAAGCCTAATACTTAATTAACAAGAATTCCAGTAAATTATGCTAAATGTTCTTATTCACACACTCCCAGAATGGAACGCTGAGGGTAAAAATTAAAGTTGAGAGTATGTAGACTTACTGTTTTCTGCCCTTAATGAATCTGAAAAGAAAGATAAAATTGATCTTCAGATGTATAAACATGTTCAAAATAACTCCAACAAGGAAAGAACATTTGCAGTGTCTATTTCATAGAAATAATGGATTCAGCTCTTATTTGGATTACATTAGCAGGTGATAGATGGTGACATTTATCCTTAATAAGTGTACATCAATGCCCATTTTTAGCAAAAGTAGTAAATGTTGTCTGGAGTCATCTGCAAACAATGAATTTTGCCTGTTGTTTGGTGCAAGCTGTATTTTGCACCAAAATAGAGTTTGACAGAATACCTGGATCCATCAGTTCTTGGTCACAAAAAGCAGAAGGAATGGATTAACCCTTTCCTCTTCTAGCTAAAATGCAAGGCTTAACCCTCCTTCCTGTTCTGTTGAAGAAACCCGTCCCTTTCAGTCTTTCATTCTGCTTGGTGGGGAAAAGCATTTGCTTGTTTTTTGGCTCAGTCTTATGGGCTGAGGGAGAAAATGGAATTACAGCTCTGAAGAAGCAGCAAAAGGCAACAGGAGCTGTGAGTGTTTGAATACCAGCATTGTGTTCTGAGGTGATTCCAGGAACAGCAAACATGGCAGATTGATGCACTGAAGAGAAGTCCCAGCCAAGAAGCCATTTGGGGCCTAAGGATCAGAACCTGGGAGTGTTTGAGACAGCAACTGAGTCTTAGGGACTGGGCTGGTCCTGAAGAACTTCTAGCGACGGCAAAAAGAATGATGAATTAGGCACTGGGCAAGGCCAACCATGGAAACCCTTCAGATCCAACAGATTTTGTCCACTAAAAAGAGGTCTCTTAAATTGAGGGTTTATTATCTATGCAATGAGACTGATGAAACTTGACTGCCCTTCTGATTTTAAAAAGCTCCTTGGAATGAATCCAAATCTATCTATATTTCTTTATTTTATTAAAAAATAGGTTTGAAAGAAAAAAGAATGGGAAAATTTTATGATTTGCTGTAGAAGAGAAATCTTGCACAAACATACAAAAATATATGTTTGTGTAAATTAAGGATAAAAATATATAAAGATAAGTGTGTGCGCGTGTGTGTGTATCCATCTGGTGTGTAAATTGTAGAGGAAATAAAACTGAAATGAATACATGATCAGAAAAAAAAAAAACTCAATGCAAATTAAATTAACAGATTTGCCTATTCCTAACAATCCCAAACCCTATGAAAATCTATCTCTGAGAATTTTTTCTCAAAGCAAATGTTTTTTCAGAAAGCAAATGGCTATAAATGCAATTCAACACAATAATAATGAAATAGCATAAAGAATGGAATAAAAATTACAATTATTTATTATAGGGAAGCGCCATCTTTTCTCTCATGCAGTGGGATCTCAGCTAATGGCAAGTTGAGGAGCAGGAATGGCAGGCAATATTCCTTGAGCAGTGAAAGATTTCATTTTGGGCAGTTGGGGCCTCATGATCTACCCATGAAGTATTAACTAGCCGTCAGTGATATATTTAATTTACCTTTACGTTTGAAATTGTATATTTCTTCTAGAAAGTCCAAAACAAAGATAATGAAGAAAAGAAGGACCCAGGAAAAAATATCTGAAGACCTGCTGCCTAAAAGAGAAAAGAGAAGAGAGAAAATGCCTGAAAAAGCCATCTCACAAAGTTCCTGGGGTGAGCTCAGCTTGTATGAATCTTTACCCTTATGCATAATGGAGTTCATCTTAGGGGAGCGCAATGCTGCCACTTAAGTGGAGAAATAATAATAATAATAATAATAATAATAATAATAATAATAATAAAACCAAGACAGGACTAAAATAGTTATGAAAGCCATAAAACCTTGTATGTCTTGGGTAAAGCCAGCAAATTTTATATTGCAAACCACGATTTATAGCTTACTGGGCTGTGGATGCTCACCCAATTAGACAGTTAGAATTCTACCCTTTAACAAATCTCCACCACTTTCACATATAATGGGACCATTTAAAATGTTATTCATTTGGTAATCATTGTTCATAATTTAAAATGTTAAATTCATCGAGAGCCACTACTGAAAGAAAAACTAAAGGACAACTTCACCAAGTGATCTTCAGTGTCAGTGAGATTCACTTAAGAGCAAAATGTTGCCTCCTGAGGTGTAAATGAATCACACAAACAATTATTGGACCAGACTGTGATAGACACAGTAAAACTAAATGGACTTAGACTCCCCTTGCTGGGCTAGTACCATAAACTAGCAGCTTAAATTGCAGTCACGCTTGAAAATCAACTAGTTGGGATGACTCTCTCTCTGTAGGTTTTGTGTGTTTGTGTGTGTATGTGCATGTGTGTGCATCCCCCCTTCTTCTCCTGCTGCTAGAGAGTTCCATGACTTATGTTCAGAAATATTGGCTAACACTTGCAGGGGACAATTAATCAGGAGGAAGAAGATGGCTTTATTTGTTCACATATGATGTTATTTCATCTATACTGCATGGAGTATAATATCTTATGTACACACAGATGAAGCATTGATCAGCAATGACACCAAAGAACTACATGAACATTCCTTGAGACGTGTATCTAATTAATATCCAAAATTCAGTAACAATAAAGCCCAACAATATTTGCCTTCTAAATACCCATATATTTGTTTACTACCTCAGGAATCTATTAAATAAAATTAAATCAGATCAAATCAAATCAAATCAAATCTATGGACAGTATTAGTTAATCATAAATAAGCAAAAGTGGGCTTTCAGATTTTATTATAAAGCTGAATGGCCCTTCATCTCTAGGACTGATTTCTGTCAAGGGCAGCAGAAGGGAACTGGATGTCTTCTTCATTACCTGTCACAGAAAGGGTGAAGACGACCACTTGGCAAAA